AGAGGCGCGATTGCCGGCGCCAGTGCGCTGCTGTTTATAGAATGCTTGGAATTCTTGCCTGGCCAGCATTCCCTGGCAATTCTGTTTCTGGAATTGTTGGAATTTTTAGAACCCTAGAATGATTTCTAAGAGTTCTAATAATTCAGAGACATAATTGCCAGGGAATGCTGGCCACGCAAGAATTCCAACAATTCTAGCAATTCTATTGGACCTATTCTAATTCCTAGAATTAGCTTTAAGAATTCCAATACTTGCTATTGAAACTATTAAAATTCTATTTCGAATTGGAATTATTCCACTTCAAAAAATCAACTTCTATCAATTGGAATAATTGCAATAGGAATTCTGAGAATTAATAGAAATAGTTTTAAGAATTTGAATAATTCCAACTGGAATTGTTAGAATGCTTAGAAATCATTTTAGGATTCGAATAATTGCAAAACTCTAGAAACAGAATTGCCAGGGAATGCTGACCAGGCAAGACTTCCGAGAATTCTCATAATTGCTATTGAATTGCTCCAATTTCTAGAATTAATTCTGAGAATTCTAACAATGAAATTTCTCATTTTTTAAATCATTTCTAAGAACTGGAATAATTCCAATCGGAAATAATAGAATTATTAGAATTAATTCGAAGACTTTGAATAATTCCAGTAGGAATTCTTAGCATTGTTAGAATTAATTCTAAGAATTGAAATAGTTCCATTTGGAATTATTGGAATTCTTAGAATTACTTCTAACATTCTTCCAATTCCAAGAATTCTAGGTTTCTAAACAAATTGCCAGGGAATGCTGGCCAGGCAAGTGGAATCATTCCAATTTTAAGCATCAATTCTATCAATTGGAAACAGTCTAAGTGGAATTATGAGAATTCCTAGAATTAACTGAACAATTTCAATAGGAATTCTTGGAATTGATAGAATTACTTCTAAGAATTTGAACAATTTCAATTGGAATAATTAGAATTATTGGAATTATTTCTAGGAGTCTATTAATTCCAAAAATTCTAGACACAGAATTGCCAGGGAATGCTGGCCAGGCAAGAATTCCAAGAATTCTAATAATTATTTTTTGATTATTCATTTTTTAAAGTAGTTCTAAGAATTTGATAAGTTCCAATTGGAATTATTAGAATTCCTAGAATGAGTTCTAAGAATTAGAATAATTCGAATTGGAATTGATAGAATTCCCAGAATTAATTGAAATATTCGAATCATATTAATTCCAATAATTCTAATTGGAATTCTGAGAATTATTGGAATTATTTCCAGGAGTTTTAAGAATCGATTCCTTGCCCCCCTGCTCGCACGGATCGTGCTCTAACCTCCAGGACACGCTCCCCATGTTTCAAAGCAACGCACGTGCAATAATTCTTAGAATTAAGTCTCGGAATTTCAAGAATTCTAATCAATCACTCCATGTTTCTCTCTTGGTCTCGCACACACGCACACACATTTAAACCCGAGGGGGGTCTCTGACTATTCGGGTTGGGCGCTCGCGTCCGCGGCTCGAGTGCGGTGATCGAGTCACACGGCAAATGGCTTCCCTCTAGAACCGAAAACGTACCCGACCATTCCCGTCTTCTTTCCCCACCCTTCCTTCCACAGTTAATAAAACTCAGGGTTTTACAGATAACCGTCTATACCCAAGAAATATTGACCCCATCCAAGAAGCATGATTTCTCTCACTCACTTATCTTTGTCTCATCTCTTTGTCCCTTCACCCGTCACTTTAGGTTGCTAGGAAGTGAGAATGGAGGGTGAAGGGGGTGACAGGTAGGAGATAAAGAGATGGGTGGTAGCAAAGGAATTATTGCCCCGCCTTATGGCATAGCTCCCGGGGGTCCCATCCCTGACCAACTTCGCCTCGTCCGAGACAAGTAGAGAGGGAATCCCATCCCATTCCCTTCTTCTATCCCTACCCGGTCGTCTAAGGAAGGGAAAGAGTGGGCAATGGTCCATTCCTAATCCCACTATCCCCCATCGCTTGCTCTCGCATATCCATTCTTTCTCTCCGTTCATTTACCTAGCATGCGACTCCACGAGCTGACAGGTGGTGGAGAGAGGGAAGCGGACGGTTAGCCCGCAGTCACATGTAGACAAGATGTTGGTGGGTGAAAGAGTTAAAAAGCCCTTGGCTTCGTCATCCTGTTCCCTTTAATCTAATGCAAGTTGATGAGGGAATGGTATGAAGAGACGAAAGGATGAGATGAGATAATGAAAGCGAGCCCCTCTTCCTCCCTCGCAGAAGCAATTGGCAAGGGAAGAGGACAAGGAAGAGCGAGTCCATTCCCTTCGCCCACTCGCTTTCCTACGTCTGGGATAGATAGCGTGAACGCCATCCACAATATTTCCCTAATTAACAACACAATGCTAGCATATGCTGAATTAACTCCTCATGTTACATAATTATAAACCTAAGAGGGGGCCAGGGAAAAAGTAAAAAACCATGCAATTCCTGAAAAATATTCTTCGACACGCAACTCATAAGATTTCGTGAGTAGTAGAACGAAAATATTTAGCACGACAATACTAGACTTCCTTTCTTTTCAGTTGTATCATTAGAATATTTGGCTTTTCGTTTTACTCTGGTCTTTTTCTCAGTATGCAATGTCATCTTTATGCTTGTAACTCCTGTTAACAATCCCATATTCTGAGATCTTATAACAAATCTTTTGTTGTTTCTCTATGAGAAACTTTCCAAAATGTACGACGAGAGAATGGGAAGCCCTTCCAAACTGAGACAATGAACAAGAAGATGTGTTGAAAAGCAACCAAGGATTTCACAGATAACCGTCTAGACCAATAATTATTGAACACTAACTGTCAAGGAAAAAACGAAACCATCCAAGAGGCATTATGTCCCTCACAAACATTCACTCACTTATCTCTCTCTCTCATCTATTTATTCCTTCACCCGTCACCTTAGGTTGCTAGGAATTGAGACTGGAGGGTGAAGAGGGGGTGACAGGTAACAGATAAAGAGATGAATAGTAGTAAAGGAATTATTGCCCCGCCTCCATTCATATCTTATGGCATAGCTCGGGGATCCCATCCCTGACCAACTTCGCCTTGTCCATGCTTAAGAGGCGAGACAAATAGAGAGGGAAGCGGGGGGGGGGGATCCCATTCCCTTCTTCTATCCCTACCCTTCCTTCCATAGTTGGTAGTCTGTGGGTAAAAGAAGGAAGGGAAAGAGTATGAAGAGAAAGGGGTGGTGTGTGATGGAGAGATGAGAGCGGGCAATGGTTCATTCCTAATCCCACTCTCTCCCGTCTCTCTATCCCATCGCTTTCTCTCGCATATCCACTCTTTCTCTCCGTTCACCTACCTAGCATGCGATTCCGCGAGCTGACAGGTGGTGGAGAGCGGGAAGCGGGGGACGGTTAGCCCGCAGTTAAAAAGCCCTTGACTTCGTCATGCTGTTCCCTTTAATCTAATGCAAGTTGATGAGGGAATAGTATGAAGAGACGAAAGGATAAGATGAGATAATGAAAGCGAGCTCATGTCCCATCTCCTCTTCCCCTCTTCCTCCCTCGCAGAAGCAATTGGCAAGGGAAGAGGACAAGGAAGAGCGAGTCCATTCCCTTCGCTCGCTCGCTTTCCTACGTCTGGGATAGCGGTTAACCTTTGCATTTCCTTTCGCGCGCCATGAAGCCTCTCACTCCGGGGTTAGGGAATTGATGGACATGGTTGGTTCCTCAATTCTCAAACCGTTTTGTTAATTGTGGAACGAGAATTTTGCGAAATAAATGTCAAGAAATGTAAATCCCTTGTTTTCTTCATCCCCGTTCCTCGCTTTCAAATATCCTAGAAGTGAGAGTGGAAGAGTGAATGGAGGTGGACTGAGGGGATGCAGCTCTGTCTTCTCTTCCCAGCCCTCCCCAACGCTCGCTGTCTCTCCCTCACCTATCCACTGTTGATGGTTGATAGGCTTGGGAGTGGATCGGTGGCGAGGGAGTGAGTGTAAGTGTGTGTGTGTGTATCTCTCTCTCTCTCTCTCTATCTTGTTCAGCGTCACCCTTTCCACTATCTTGTTACTTGTTGTAAAAAGGGAGATGTGAAGAGGATAGGAAAGGGGCGCGTCTCTCACCATCAAATAGAAATAGAAGGGTGTTAAGGACAATAATATCCTTTCCCATTCCTTTCCATCCAATGCTTTCTCCAGTTCCATCTCACCCAATTTTCAAGATTCCTGAATGGGGTTGGATAAGGAAATGGGAGAGGCTAACCTCATCCCGTTCCTACGTCTGAGATTGCGGTTAAGCTTTTTTTGCTTTCGCGCACCGCAACCGCATGTCTTAATCAAGGGTTTCATGGCGGGGCAATCCCAAGAGCAAGAGCTTCCTTGATTGGCGGTTGAACTCAGAGAACGATTTGCGAGCGCGCCCTCAACCTTCAGCCTCTCTTTCCTCTCCCCATCCGCCTCAGTCTTCTCTGTGAGGCATGAAGGGGCGGGATGAAGAGAGAGGGTCAAGTCAGGACAAGAGCTGAATGGACAAATGTTCCTAAAAGGTCCCTGCCACATATATATATATATATGTATATATATATATATATATTCCGGAGTGAAAGCCGGCCCTCCAGCAAGTGTGGAATAAGATTCAAAGTTTCTCTGACTGGATAGCTCCTTCTGGGTTTTCCCTGGCTTTGAAGTTAGAACGTGTGGGTGGAAGTACAACGGGTTGCCCAAACATTGCTTGCAATGGTCCCAAAGTAGCCTAAAAGTGAAACTCATTTGTACAACCCGCTTCGGGCCGATTGAAACATATACTTGCTACGTGGGTTGGTCTTTTACCCTTTTCAGGTTGCTTTAAACGGAAACCGAAGGAAAGTCACCATATTGGTGGCCCCTCTACTTCGACACATGCCAACTTTGTTTTCTCCACCATCCAATTTCAACCCACATGTCTTTTGAGATGCCGGGGGGCCAGAATCGAAATTCAACATTGGAGGTGTCCCACCAAGAAAAGCTACCGCATGGGCCAAGCAAAACCCCGCCTGCAGCTTCGCCGCGCAGGGGTTCGGCGCCAGCCGCGCGTTGGTGCTGTCGGAGGCCTGCAGGTTGCAGCCTCGGGCGTCGGGAGGTACCGCTACATGTGGGTCTAAGATAGGTACCCAATATAAAAACCTGGGAAATGGAAACATGGACAAAAACCTGCGGTTCCCTGGTGAGTTAAGTTTGACCCATACCCACATGTGGGCATGCGCCAGTTCGTTGGAGGGTAGACTTTCATTTTTGGGAGGGTAGATGCTGCTTGCTTTTGAGACTTTTACCTTGGGTTTAAAGGGACAAATCAGAAGGAAACCGGGCAGATTTGGGGGTCGCATATTTTGAAAGGAAACAAAAGGAATAGAAGGGAAGGTGGAAGGTGGAAAATGGCGAGGCTCCGAAAATGACTGGGTAGAGCTCAGAAGTCTGAAGTATCCGCCTCCTTACTGCTAAGCCCCTTAGGGCCTTATGCCCAGCTGAAGCCTTTGAACATCCCTCTAGCTGCAGTCTGCAAGAAGGAAAAGGTCTGCACCTTTCCAGACATCGGAGTAATTTCAGCATCCAGGATGCTCATGGATATCTTGACAGGAAGGAACCAACGGGGGTCAGTTTCGGCAGTTCGCCCCACTCCAAGTCCGAGGAGCTCAAAAGGAGGCTGCGAGTGCGGCAGTTATGCCGCGCGCAAATCTTGTCCGAGCGGATCATCAGCACCTTGTCGGGGGCAAGGTGCAACAGGTTCCAGAAGCATGAACGTTTTGCAGAAATGCCCAAGGATTCAAAAGCAGGCTGTGGCGGGGCTCTGTTGGGGGCTATTGGTAAAGAACCATCACTGTTCGATCGGGACGCAGGTTCTTCGCCGTTCGATCTGGCTTTGCACGGGTTTTCTGAACTGCTATCTTACACCGCGTGGCACGAAGAAGTGATTTGATGCCACTACGCATCATGTTCAGTGGACTGTAAGTGCAACAAAGGCTCGGCTCTTCCCAGCTACCACTGCGCGAAAACGCATTATGATTCCCACGGTGTGCAAGCCGCAGTGCAAAACAGTTGACAGCTTGGGTCCCAGGGAAGCTAGAAGAAGGGGGAGAATGCTCAGAGCAACAGTCGGCCAAGACTGACAGCTGGCTGGTTCCAGCATGCGAGGCATGCGGGCTTCCGACCTAACCATCTCCTCAAAGACTTCATGAAAGATACCACGCTCAACCTATGAACTACAAAGAAGTTGGGGTCTAGTCGATGGGGTCTGTAGGGAACACTTCCTCCACGAAGCTCCCATGTAAAGCAGAAACACATTGTGGAAGTTGGGGGGTGGGATAATCACTAATTCCATCTGCCACTCCTGGATGGGGATTGCCAAATCACAAGGAGTCAGTGCCGCAAAAACGGCATCCAGGCCATGTCCTTTTGGGTGCTTCTTTTGTTTGCCCCCTTTGTAGTTGATTTCGGGCGAGACTTGGGGGTTGCTTTTGGTTGCTTTTTTGTTTTGGGGGTTTCCCTGTTCGAAGTTCCCCTTTGAGGTTTCCCTTTCGGGTTTTCCCTTTCGGGTTTTCCCTTATACGATCCCCCATTCAAGACAGAGTGGCCGTGCCCGGGGATGAGGTCACCCGGCAGGGCTTGCAGTCGCTTTCTCGGACACTGAGCTCGAAGTCGCCAAAGCCCGGGCCAACGCAGATGATGCACATGACCTGAGTCACAATCAACACCTTGTCTTGACAAGGCCGACCGAAATCCCGGATATGTATTTTATTGTGCCTCACCTCAAGAATGAGGCTGTAAAAGTCGCCCAGCTGGGGATCATGATGGCTTTCCCCTACTTATGTGTGATTCTCCCTTTGGGGTCGGGGATCTGCCAAAGGGGCGGGACCTTACGAATTACAAATACCCACATCTTGATCAAGCAACATGCCCTCGAGGCAGGAATGGGCAGCCGAAAGGGCAGGTTTCCTCCGGAGGGCCGATTCAACAGATCGGTTTGCTGCTTTGTTCTCCGTTCAAAGCACACAAATAACAGTCCTTCACGAGCAGGCAAACATCTCAGTCTTCCATGTCAGAGCAGAATAGGGGAATATGGTAGAACAAAAACCCACTGCTTCTGATTGATGTCATGCTCCTCACGGGGTCACAGCTACCTTGGGTCAGATTTAGCTCGAGGGAGCGCATGAGCTTTGCAGCTTTGCACAGATACACACACTTAAACTCCAGATGGAGGGTGCTAATCTTTCGAGTACAACTGGCAAGTTTCGGCTTGGATAAGGTTCTTCATGCATAAGTTTCGGCTCGCAATGCACTCGGCTTCCCTCTAGCAGCGAACACGTTACCCGAAAGAACAAGAAGCACAAACAGCGCCGCAACCAAGAGGGCCAAAAAAACTTTCAGAATCACTGAAGCAGGTACAAGATGCTGCGTCCAGCATCTCCTCCACCCTGATTTCCGTAGCTTCGTTGGCACGGCTTGGAAATCAGGCGCCGTGCCCCCTGCAGCTGTCTGGTGGCAGGGTAATCTGCCACTCCGCACACACACGCCCCTCAGTGAGGGGCGAAAATCTTTTGTTCCTGTCGGAAGATCACGCAATCGGCTCATCAATGCTAACGTCTACCAAAATATCCACAGCGGCGAGGAGAGCGCGAAGCTGCACGAAGCCGCTCAGAAGACGGGGACGAAAGATCTCCAAGATGAGCATGACGGGTGCCGCCATAGAAGACCGGAGGAAGGTGCAAATCAGTCGGGCGATCACCGTCAGAAATAGGTGGGGCATAGGTGAACATTTCCTCGACCCGGATGAAGTCCGAATTCTGCACGTCAACAAGTGATTGATCCTGAGCTTGATGAGTGGAGAAGGACTCAAAGCGAGAAAGAATGCGTTGGTAACCTTGATGTTGCCAGTCGCGAATTGTCCATGCCTGACTGAGCTCACCAGTCCCATCAATTGGATCAGTTACCCGCTTCCACTCCCGAAACGAGTTGTCTGGTAGGTCAGGTACTGCTTCATCTGGGTGCCACAGCTGAGATGGTCCTGGAGTATAGATCCGCACCCACTCCTGACCCTGCCAGACTGAATATTCGAGCCATGGGTGCTGCTCATCGGTTCGGCCCAACGACTGAGTTGCATCCTCGATGTCCATGCCGAAGTGAAAGACAGGGCGTACCGCAGGTTCCGATCCAGCTAGCAAAGAAACAGTCACCATGCACAACCATGCACAACCAGACAATACACAAGAAAGCAAGAGCAAGAGAAAGCACCCTTTTGCACCATGATCAAGACGCATCAGTCTATTCATCGTTTAGCTCGAAGATAGGCTTCTCCTTGTTGTTGGAGCTGCATGGTTGGGTCGGGGGGAGATATGGATCAGCGACCCCAATAGATTCAGGTGGTTCAACTCCATGAGAAGCACGTACTGGTTGGTGCTGATGGGACGCCTGCCGCGCGCGATCCGACAGTTGCTGACAGATCCCATCTTGAAGACGAGTGAGATCCTCAGTAGAGAAAGCCGAAGCATCCGATGATCTAAGAATCGCATTCAACACTTGCGGTGACATACACAAAGCCGAAGCCGCTATGTTGATCTGGAGAAGACATCGAAGTGAAGCCGTGATCAGCTTCAGGGGCTGCAACACGCCGGTAGCCCTCGGTGGCCCAGTCCCTTTTGTACCAAATGCTCCTGGTGGGCTGCCCGCTTTCTTGATCAAGATTTGGGGCATAGAACTCCTTCCACTCTCTGTATGTATGAGGCGGAGGCGGATCATCACGTTCATCTTGTGGAGTCCATGATCCCGGATGAAAAATCTTGACCCATTGAGCATCTGGTTGTTGAGGATCCGGGCACCACTCCAGCCACGGCATGACAACTCAAACCCTAGATGCAAAATCGAGAGGTACACGGCTGCAGACTACAAGCACCAAATGCGACATATCAACAAACATGCAAGCAAACACTCACAGAACATGCAGCGCCGAACGTCGCGGTTTGTAGCAAGGCGCGGCTCAGGTGTCGAAGTCACTCGCCCCAATCAAATTGAAGATCATGGAAAGCGAGGACGAACGTCAGCCACCATCCGAGTTCGAGGATGCCGACGAAGAAGACAGCCCAGCGTACATGAGGTCTGGCGATCCCGAAGCGAAAACTGGACGCGCAATGTTTGGGCGCGGATGGCCGAGCCGTTGATATCCTCTGGTAACCCAGTCACGAAATTGCCATGTGTAAAAGGATGCATACGAGACCGGCTGAGAAACAGAGCCTATAGTGGTGCCTCCCGTGCTGTCACTAGGCCAATACACGTCGAAGTGGTAGAACCTGCGCCATTCCCGATAGGTTGTTGTGTCATCCGGAGCCGGTCCCAAATTGGAGTCGGCGACTGGTTGCCACGGACCGGGTACATAGACTCGAATCCATTCAACACTTGTGCTCGCAGGGCCATTGACGATGTCGTACTCAAAATAGCGTGGTAGGGACCATCTTGCAGTGCCACATATTGTGGAATTGAACATACCAACCAAATAAGCCGCTTTGAGGCTAAAGAGGATCGGCGAAAACATGCAAAGCACAACACAAGCCAAGACAACCCAACTTGAAGCAGCAATCAAATCAGGTGCAGGCACATCGTTTTAACCAACATGTTGCTCCAGCATCAATCCGACTCGTTCCAATCGAAATTAGGATCATAGCTCGGTGGGGGAGAAGGTTCCCGCCACGCACCATCCGGGACTGAAGACCCCGACGAGGAAGTAATTTCGTCATTCACGAGCTCCGTCGATCCAATGGTTGGTCGTGGAATGCCAAGGCGTTGATAACCTCGCGAGTTCCAGTCTCGGAATTCCCACATGTGATATGACACGTACGAAACGGGCATGACGTTGGGGTCCGCTGCAGTCCCCCCGGCGCTGTCTGCGGGCAAGTACACGTCAAAGTGATATGACTTGCGCCACTCCCGATACGTGGAAGCGTAGTCCGGGGTCTCGTCCCAGTGTAGCTGTGGCCACAGGTTGCCACGGGCCCGGTGTGTAAATTCGAATCCACTCCACGCCTCTCTCGATGTGGTACTCAAAATAGTGCGGGCACATGACAGCCAAATGTGTCGTCACAGTGCTGTTGAAAGGAAGCGCAAAGCCAAGGGATCTGCGGCGAAACACTCATGCCATGACAACCTTGACTGCAATGTGAATGTGTTAAGCAACGCAACGCAAGGCAACTTTTCAAACTGAAGGCAGGACAAATCAACAAAGTCTGTAGTATGCGACGACTATGATTCACCGCCGCTGATGCCGCACACACCTGCAATGGTAATGTCCTGGTCGGCGACGAGCACAGGGAGAAAGACATCTCCGTCCATGATGTAGAAAAGCATGACAGTAATGCTTGCAACTTGTCGATGCAGACCGTGATGGACGAGTAGCCCGTTTCGAAGGGAACACAGTGAAGGGTCGCCGAGATCTCCGCATGACAGAGGCGGATGCTGTTCGAGAGCGTTTTGGAGAACGCGTGAGACTGCGTAGATCATCATCACGGAACTGGTCAGTGTTGCCAACAGAGCGGCGTGTGCGCTGAGATCTCATGGTGGCCGGGCATGACTGTCCTCGAGGAGAGGGGCTCGAGGAAGCTCGCAATGAGGGCATAAACTGTGGGTGAAGAATCACCGGTGGTGGTGGTGGTGGAGGAGGTGGAGGTGGAAGAAGTATTGGAAACCGTGGCGGGGTTGGAGATGAAGCAGTCAATCGAACTGGTCTGTCAAGCAATGTACCAGGCCCGTGAAACTGTAACCACGTCGGCTGCACTCCATGGGTCCAAGTTATGAATGTCTGCACATCTTGCTCCAACATGATTTGAACACTCAAACCCGCAAGTCGAAGAGATGAACGCGGTAGCAGCCCTGCCATGCATGATATCCATGTCATCAACAACTTCCATGCCAGCCACCAATGCCCTCAATGTCAGAGATGTCATGAATGTCATTCATGTCTTTACTGCAAAGGAAGCCAACCATGTCAAGAAAGCAAGTGAGAAAAGGATCATGCGATCTGCCATGTCTGCAATTCAAACCATATCGTCAATCTGCAATGTTCACGGAATGTACTGCAACCCTCAGGGAGCCGTTCGCTCTCATGATGCACGGCGCACTAAGCGCGAGCTTCAAGTTGCTGGTAGACCTTCCAGGCTTGCTTGACTTCCTCGGTGGGCTTCTGAAGGAAACGGGCAATGGTCTTGTAGGTGGGCCTGGAGTCCTTGTCCTTTTTCCGTCTGACCATCTCATCGAGTTCACCCTGTGTCCATGCCGTGAACGGCTCAAGATGCACATTGCGAAGGGCAATGGTGAATTCCTGTAGAAGTTCACGAGGTCCATGAACCACCGTAGGAGATGGACGGAACGATGAAGCACCTGGATGTGGACGCACTGAACCATCCGAATCTGAATCAGGCGTGGTAGACGATGCTTGTCCTGGTGCACGATCGCTGCGTGGGAGATGAGGAGCAAGGGGTCTTGGCGGTGGTAACCGATCCAACATTGTCTCCGGACGGTGACCAGGATTGCCTTCAGTAGCGTCCCGATGTGCATCACGAGGGGGGGATGGCGCAGGTATATACCAGGTAGAAGAAGTATCCATAGGTCGGGTTCGGATGCGAGTGGGAGTGCGAGACCGATCGGACGAGATGCTCCGTGATGCTGCGAGGGCGTAGTCCATGCCTGGAAT